AGAGCGCGTCAATTTTTGTGATGCTTCAAATCCTTCTCTTCATCTTTATTTTTATTCGTTCAGTATATTGTATGGACAACATTATTTTAATATCGGTGATAGATCGTTTAATAGATTTCAGGATGGCAACAAGTTTTCCTCGCTTACCTCCGTTGCCGCCGTTAAGGGATTTTATTCATATGTATCGTTTAAGAGCGAAGAAAATATTATCCCAGAATTACCTTATGGACATGAATTTAACGAGGAAGGTAATGCTTCTGTTTATTGTCCCCGTGTCAGTTTATTATTATTGTCCTATTATAATCAACCCAATTATCATGTTTTGTTTCGTTGCCTATGGGCTAGAGAATCATGAATTGTGTTCAGAGTCTTTTCTTTGATTTCAGATAGTAAAGTCCGCTGGAGTTCATCCAGGAGATTGGGTTTGCGAAGTAGGCCCCGGTCCTGGAGGAATCACTAGAGCTATTCTGGAAGCTGAATGTGAACGAGTAGATGTGGTTGAGATCGACCAACGGTTTATACCACCTCTTGAGGTAAAGCCTATGCCCTTCGTTCTTTTCCAATCTATTTTTATACTGTTTTTAGCTTTATGTTGTTGCTTTTTGTAAATAATCTACATATATCTCCCATCTTGAAGTGTTCTTGCAGCACTTAGCCGAGGCTGCTGAAGGTCGCCTAAATATTCATCATGCTGATGTGTTAAAAACGAATATTGGCGAAATTTGGAGCAAAGCGGGAGCTGAGAAACGAAGAGAGTGGAATGATGATCTGCCTAGTATGCATGTCATAGGAAATTTACCGTTTAATATTGCTTCTCCCCTCATAATCAAGTGAGTTTTTACGAGTTCTAATCTCTTTTTTATCTTTAACAGCTGTGGGCGTAATTAAGCTTACTGAAGATGATACGTTTTTTAGGCTTCTAAGAGATATGTCCTATCGTCGCGATGCTTGGCAATTCGGGCGAGTCCCTTTAACGTTAACTTTTCAAATGGAAGTGGCAAAGCGGATATGCGGTCCTATCGATGACGACGCACGGTCAAGACTTTCAATAATGGCGCAGTATTTAACTGAGCCAAAGATTCTATT